AGCACGTCCAGTGCCTCGGCATTGGACGCAGTCAGGTTGTCATCGAAGAGCTTGTCAAAGGTCTCTAGCTCCGACGCGGATGGCGCTGATGGACCCTTGGTGTAGCCCATACGCTGCATGATCAACACCTCACCTCGCTTGGAAACTGGCACTCGGGAGAGGCTCTGAGGCGCCAACCGCCTGCTCCGCCACGACAACACCGGCTTAGCAGGACGCTGCTTGGGAGGCTCATGAATCAGCGAAGAGTCCCTCTTACGCGTGACATTATTGATGAAGCTATCGAGAGAGCGTTTGGCGGAGTCGTTGTTGTCCACAGCCTGGTGGGTATCCACCGGTGGTGAACTGGGAAGGCCAGCATCCATAGTGAGATCGACTGGCCCAAAGCCTGGCGGCTAGCTGAGCTCCGTGTGTGTCTTCGGTGAGTCCAATGCCCACTAAATGGGGCGCGGGGGTGGTGTCCAAAGCTCACAGGAGACCACCGCCGGTTCCACATCCTCCAGCTCGGGGCCGCCACTGTCGGGGCTTCATCTTGTAGCTGGGGGCCACTAAAGGTGACGGCAGGCACTCAAGGGAAGGCCACGTGATGATCCGATTGCCGACGAGCGAGGCTACAAACTCCTCAACCATCGGGTCCTCCGTGATGTCGTGATCATGCGTGGCGTCCGGGTACAACGTCAGCGTCAACGGGTCGGGCTCAATGATGCCCATCTCGTTGGTCAGCCCACTGTGCCTTGCCTGAGCTCCAGCAGCAATCGAGGTGAAGTCTGGTGCCGTCTGGGCGGCCCCTGCCGACCACCCGTGACTATCGATGGCGACACTCATTGCCGCAGCGGTGTCATGCCCCTTCAGTCATCTCCAATGTCTACGCCCACTGTCGCCGCGCGTAGTCGCACCTAGCACAGCTGCAGCCGCACCCGGCATAGCTCTAGCCGCGCTCGGCGTGTCGCCCTGAGTATGCGGCCAGTTGCCCAAGATACGCTCCCGAACAGGTCATGGATGTCGGCCTTCTGAGGCACCAGATGTGCTGGAGCTAGAAGGAGGCACCGTCCACCGCCGCTTATAGTCGCGCGTGAGGTGTCCAAACCCCTTGCATCGGAGGCGGCGTGGAGGCAGCTTGCAGGTTGCCACCCTGTGCGCGGTGGAGAGACAGTTGAAGCACTTCTCGTGTAGGTCCGCTAGATAGCGGGTAGGGAGCCGATGGTTCGTCGATGCAGTGTGGGCGGGGCATGCAACGTCGGCACCGCTTGACGACCCCAGCGACAAGACCTCACGCCAGCCGTCGGCGTTCGGAGTGGAGATGCGCTGGCGGGCGCCGTAGCGCGGACCCCATCAGGGGTTGAGAGCGGTGCCCCATCCGCGACGACCAAGGCATTTGCGGGCGGGGATGCGGCCATCCACGGGCCGAGCAGGCAGGCCATGCACCAGGCGGAGGCGTGGCCGTGGTCAGCGAGTCCTGTGGCTACGCCGCCCGTGCATCATGCCAGCACCAGTAGCACCGCTGTGCGCGCCTCCGGCAACGTTGGCTGGCCAGGCTCCCTCAGCCAGGGGGCGCTTGCCCCGCTCCTGAGCGCGTGAGTCGACAGCAGCAGCGCTGCCGCGAGAGCCTCCGGCGATGTGGCACGGCTTGGCATGGTCCATCAAAGGCGACGTCTGAAGCTACGACCCCTGCAGACTGTGTCGAGGTAGGAGGTTGGGGAGCTGACTAGCGACCACTCCGCGTCGGACTCGTCAAGGACCTCATCCGCCCATCGACGAGCCTTGGAACGCCCCATCGAGCCGTCCCCAGGGTGGAAGGGGAATTGAGGGGGACAGGGAGGACGACAGCTGGGCGTCGGAAGGGTGGACGAGGAAGATGTCGATCCCCAACGTCGGAGGAGGCCGCTGCGGTGAGTTGGGCGCCGAGTTCGTCATCACCACCAGCGGGGTTGCAGGGCGTGGTAGCTGTGGCGACTACTGCGCGGAGGACTCCCCATCGTCAGCTGTAGCGGATCCACCCACCCGGAGCCCATCCGCACGGGCCCCACCACGGTGGCCGCGGTGCTTGGCCGAAAATCAAGCGGCGGCGGTTGCGGCCCTAGATCTGGGCTCATCGACGCGGACCTAGATCCGGGTTCGCCGGGTGTCACCAGCAATAGCTGCTGCAGGGGCAGGCATGGGAAGCGGGAGGTCGAGGCAGCCGACGAGGATGGCGCCGGACCCACTCCCGGAGGCGGCGAATGGGCGTCCTCCCCGCGAACCGCATCCGCGCTAGCGTCCTGCTGAAGCGCGCCCGCGTGGAGAGGTCCACCCTCATCAGAAGAAGGGAGAGGAGGGGACCAGCGGCGGCGGACCGGAGTCTGGTGGTGGCGAAGTTGGGGAGTGGCTGCCTGACGTAGATCTGGCAGAGCAGCAAGTGGACGTGAGTTTTGCGGGGGTGGACGAGGCAGTAGAGATGGGAGGGGAGTGGGAGGGAGCGGGGGAGGGGGCCGCCGGCGCCGGCGAGGCGGCCGGCGGCGGGGAGTGGGGAGCGGCCGCCAGGGGCGCCGCCTTACCTAGGGTTCGGCACGAGCCAGTCCATCATACGCTTGGAACACACTACATTCAGCAGCAGTATGGCACAGTTCGTTCGCTAAAAAGTACGACTGAAGTAGTGCTGCAGAACAGGGTAATAATTAACTATTGCATTTGAGTATATGGTTTTGTGTGTACCAAAATGCATGGATAGACCGTGTACATGCATGCCATTAGGAAGAAAAGTACGACTAAAGTAGGGCTACAGAACAAGACAATAATTAACTATAAGCGATCGTAGTACGACGTTGGATATATGTACATGCATGCCATGGCTGCACGCATGAGCTATCATCCTTAGGTAGTACTCCTTCCGTTCTAAATTATAGTTCGTTTAACTTTTTTAACCTTAAATTTAATCACTCGTCTTATTCAAAACATTTATGTAAACATAGCTAAATTTAAGTTATTCTTGAAGAACTTTTGTTAATAAAGCAAGCCATAGCAAAAGAAATAATATTTTGCATAATTTTTTGAATAAAACGAGTAGTCAAACTTGAAATAAAAAAAGTCAAATAAACTATAAATTAGAACGAATTTAGTAGCTAGCAAGCTCTTTAATAATATCCCGCGCAGCGCCAACCTAGCTAGATATATACGTACCAACATTCCATATACTAGTTCAATTTTATGTTCTCTAGGAGCTTCGATCGATCGGTGGGTGAGATCCTAATGATTTATAGTACATGTACTATGTATACTACATGTCTTCTTGACATGCATACCACGCCTTCCGCCTAACCCCGGCCCCGCTCTAATTAAAGGATGAATGAATTTGCACCCTACGCAAATCATGATCGTAAGAAGCGCGGGACCGTACGTCATGTATTGTATATATATATTGTCGAGGACTTGGTGCATAACTAAATGGAATACTGTCGAGGAACTGGCAAGAAGTGTCAAATGTTGTCTCTGAGGTTCTAATAAAACTATCCAACATTTGCTCCTTGATTATCATTTTGCTAGCTTTTTACTTTTGGAATTCAACCACCTACTAGCTTTACTAATTTGTTTGGTTCTTGGCTATATGGATTATGTGCAAAGCTCAGAAACCAAATTTTGCTAGGAGTGGTTGCACTTTGTTGGGTAATTTGGTTGAATAGAGATAATATATATGGTATTTAACAAAGCCAAATCTAATACTTCTATGCACGTAATTTTCAGGGTGGTCTTTTAGATCTGACAATGGTCCATGCTGCATAGGGGGGCGACTTTTATTCATGGAAGGCTACAGAAGGTGGAAGACTTTGCTCTTAACTATCTTCGCAAAATTTGGCTGGAGATTCAAGAACCGCATCGAGGCTTAGCTCTTAACTCTGCTCTTTTTCAGGGCTGAACTTTTTTCATGTTTCCTGTTAGTGTGTGAGCCTTATGGCTTCGTTTTGTATTCAAATCTTCAGTTGTGTACTATCTCCTGATGGTAGAGGGCTAGAACTTTGTTCCATTATTAAAAAAAACCTAAATGGAATAGATGGAGTATTATTCTTAGTTACCATAACTAAATGCTTATACTGTGCTACACTATAAAAGATGGATGAAATGATGCATAAAACCTCCCCGCGCACAAGGCACTCGTAAAGAAAACTCATCCATCAAATAATTTTCAATTCAAACAAACCATTATGCTGAGGACGTGACTGGCCTTTGCGATTTATAACCCGTCATTGATATATTGACTTTTCCTTTAGAAGCTTCCTCTTCAGTCTTCAGTCCTGTCTAAATTTCTTGACCGATGAAATCATGAAAAAGAACGATAACCGAACAGGTTTAAAGCTTTGATTGGCGCAGGTTTGAACAGGTTTAAAGCTTCCTCCGTTTGTACTCCTAATGTACTCTATCAATTTGCTTTGACCAACTATTTATATTAATATTAATAATGTAACAACAATTTGTGTTATTATATATATTTTAGAAACGCATTGCGATTAACTAATGATTACGGTTTTGCAATCACATACGTACGTGCTAATGAAATTCTCAACTTTTTTGAGCAAATGGAATTGTCAACTGTTATATTATTATTAGAAGAAAAGAAAAAGAATTTATGCATGGTGCCATGGACCCAAACTCGACCGCACGACCGGACCGAGCCAGCCCCTGACCCGGACCATCCGCTACGGCGGGCGGCGCTTGGCCCGTCCACGCGGCTAAGGAAACGGCGGCCGCTCCTCCGCCTCCCCGCCTCCGCCCGCTTTCCCGTGGCCGTGACGCCACCCCTCTTCTCTCTCTTTCCCCTCACATTAATGGCCGCTCCCTCTCTATCCCCTTCGTCGTCTCGCCCCAGGACTCGACTCGACTCGACTCGACTCGCCCCCTCCGGCTTAACCCTCAAGATTTCTCCCTCCTCCTGCTTCTCCTTCCCGCGTGCGCGTGCGCGGGCGCGGCACCTTCCGGTTCCGGGGCCTCCTATATATATACGCGCGCGACCGTCCCCCTCCATACTCCCTAGCATGCTCGGCTCGCTCCCCGGATTGATCGAGCTCGCCCGCCGTCGCAGCGATGGATCATTCGGTGCCTTCCCCTCCCTCCTCTTCTCCCCGGGCCGCCGCTGCCCCGTCCCCTGCTGCCGCTTTGACGCGCTGCGGCGCGCGTGCGCCGGGCACGCCGCCGTCGCCGCGCGGGCCGCCGGGTGGGCGCTCGGCGCGCTGCTCACCTGCGTCTTCGCCGTCGGTACGTTGCCCGAGCCCCCGCTTGATCAATTGAGGGAAGCTCCCTCGCCATTCTTCCTCGATTGACTCCGGTCTCTGGCCGGGCCGCTGGCTTCTTCCTTCTGGATTCAATTCGGTGGTTGGTCGCTGCGGAATCCGTGGGTTCCTCCCTCGGGAAACCGGGGGTCAATGGAGTAGCCTTAATTTCAGGCCTTTCAGGACCGCCGGCCTGTTCTCCTGCTGCTCACACACGCCGCGCACGCACGCTCTCTGCTCCCCCTCTCTCTGGGCCTCTCGCCCTTTTCTGGCCCCTGTTTCCTCAAATTGGGAACGAATTCAATCTTGAAACCGGAAATCTTGTAGGTTTCTTGCCACTTCCGTCATGGCGTGAGGGGGGCATATGCTTGCCTTGTGAGCGAGCTTGCAGCAGTACCTCTTTGTCGCACTAGGTTTCATAAAGATTCATCATTTTATTTTTCCTTCCTCTGTTCAATGGGATTGTCCCATGCCGACCAATTGAACTTGTGTGCAACACTCTTGCTATCTAGCTAGGACTAGGAGTACAATTCTACTGTGAATGGTAGTAAATTTTAGCTCCACCTTGTTTTGATCGTGATTCGTTTGTGCTGGCTGCAGTGGGCTCACTCGTCGGAATCTTCATCGGTGCCTTCATGGGGATGTCCACGGAGAGCGGCATGTTCCGCGGGGCTGGCGTTGGGGCAGTTTCTGGAGCAGTCTTCTCCATTGAGGCTGTTGAGTCCTGCATCGAGATTTGGAGGTCCAGCCATTCAGGAAAATACAGCATTCTCTTTGTGGTGAGTGCAAGAAAATCTAGTGGCCTACTTTCTCCCATTCAGGGAGGAGGGAGGTGAAAGATCATTTTCATATACCTAATCTAGTGTCCACCATACTTCCCTTTTTGTCGACTGGCATAAACTTTTCTTTTTTCAAAAAAGATAAGCAAGACTGGTATCAATTCAAGATGACCATTTCAAATGAGTAGGAACTTTTCTCTGCTCGACCAAATTATGTCTTCTGCTAAGTTAACTGCTGCTCTAATGACAATACAAACACGATGTTTGTCTGCTGTGTGCATTAAAGTTTTACTTTGCCAGTGTCTGTTCTAATTTTTGTTCTGCATTGGTTCTCTCAGCTGGACATCATCTCTAGCCTCTTCAGCGGAAGAATTGTGTGGGAGAAAGTCAGTCCAGCGCTACAGCGTGCAGTGCAAAGCCAGGTAAAGGCTTCTCAGTACCCTCAAGTTGTAGATACCCCACTAGCAGCTGTTTCTTTTTAGAAAAATAAATCTAGTGAACAATTAATGCAAGAAACATTTTCAGACCATAGGATTAATGGTGTATGGGTATCTCTGCATTAAATGGTTATGTGGATAATAATGCACTCCATACTCCCTGCTAGATGAAGTTTCTAGTCATAGAAATATCTGGATCTGCATTTTAGTGCTAGAGATCAACCCCAGAAACATTTTATTTACAGCACCTAAAATGTGGGATGTGTAACAGATCTGGGAGGTAAACAGGTAGTATCTGAAAGCAAGTGTTGTGTTCCATGGATTTTATTTATGTTCTGGTCAGCTGATTCTCAGGTATAATTAGTCACCATGCGTAACTTCAGCTTGGAGGAGATCTTGCAAAATACTATTATTAACTTTCAAATCTTGAAACTGGTGTAACACAAAAAAACCCATATTATTGGAGTTTATGCATTCAGAAGAATTCTTGCAGGCTGGTGTTAAGTTAAATTGTTTCTTTCAAGAAAAGTGATACACAGCTGCGTTATTTTCTATTACATGCAAGTGGTCGTTGCACACAAACCATATGTTTTTATAGGACCTGAAAGTGTTTCCTTTGGTGCACACACTTGTGATTTCATAGAACCAGATAAATATTTTTTCTTATGCACATACTCCACCTGCTTTCATAGGACCAGATAGTTGAACAAATAACTAGAAGTTACAACAACCATGTTTCATTTCATGAAGTTTACGTAATTGCAACTCGAGTTGCTTCTGCTAATACTTGGTCTGACAAATGGTTTGTGTTATGCAGATGAGTCTAATGAGCACACCGTTCATCGACAACAATGACCTTTTTGAAACTGGCAGTACAGGAGGCATGTCAAGGGATTTGATTGATAGGATCCCAAAGATGAGGTTCAGCGCTGCAAGCGATTGTGATCAGGAAACTGATAGCAGCTGCTGCTCAGTCTGCCTCCAGGTTAGTGTGATTTTGACATGCTGTATTCTTATATCTCTTGATACACAAGAGCAATTAGCTCCTTGTCTTGTACTGATGACATGGTAAATTAATGATACCAGGATTTCGGAGCACAGCAATTTGTGAGGGCCCTGCCTCAGTGCCAACACATATTCCACGTGCGGTGCATCGACAATTGGCTCCTTCGGCACGCATCCTGCCCGCTATGCCGGGCCGGTGTTCATATAGACCATATACATATGTAAATAAACTTGCAGCGTGGCACCTGGTGTATTTTCATAGTGAATACCCGTGCTCCTGTTGGATATCATAAGTATAGCTGTATACATAGGTTTTATCTTTTTTGTTACTTCTCCAGTCTTTACTTATGTGGGGCTATGCTTTCAGCTGCAGTTTTTTGTCGAAGTAATAGCTTGATATGTAAAAAAAAAAAAGACGTACCTAGTGCAGAGAGCTCTCGCTCTATACGGGGTCTGGGGAAGGGTGTTAGTGGCAAGCCTTATCCTCGCTCTGTGCAATGCGAGGAGACCGCAACTCGAACCCGGGACTTTCCGGTCACATGCGGTAAGATTCTACCGCTTGCACCAGGTCTGATATGTACATCTGGAAAATGGACTGACTAACAAGAATACTTTGTGCCTCAACAACTGTGTGTCTGTCTAACATTCGAAAAAAAATGTCTCTCTGCTCGTGTTAACTGCTGATGCTGACATGCTAATGCAATTGTTTGCTACTGGGCAACTAATGCCAGGACCATTGGAGTATATAACCTTGCAACTGAAGGTTGGATGGTGGAAATTGATAATGCTTAACATTTTGCTATTTGTTCACAGAGCAGGGGTTTTCAATCAGCACCCGCTACCATTGATTTTCAGATGGCGAATCCTTGTGAGAAATCGAAGAGGGGGGCAAAAGCTTCGCCCTGAAGTATGATTTGGGAAAGACGTCCTGTCACGTTCGATGCTTAGTCACAAAGCATGGACGAAATGGTAACCCAAGCAGTGTGCCATACACCAAATGCAAGTTCTTGTCACGCTTTCTCCGTCGTGCTGTTTCTAGAGAGAAAGAGACACGACTTGTGTTACAGGAGAACGGAGGATGCAATATGAGCCTGAGACTGATGGACACATGATAGCTACTACATTGCTACCACCATTAATTGACTTTTAATAGACTTTTAATAAACACTTTAATATTGGGTATCCTTTAGGGATGTGAAAAAACGAGCACGCCACGCTGTAAGACTCGTGCAAGTGCAGGTTTTGACTGTTGTTGAGATGGTGACATGATATATATATATATATATATATATATATATATATATATATATATATATATATATATATATATATATATATATATATATATATATATATATATATATATATATATATATAACTACTATCATGTAGCTGAATGTAGAATAACTTATTCTGTAGTCACTTTGAGTTACGATAATTACTATGTTAATTTATGAGATTATAGTAACTTTTTACTAAGTGGTTTAATATAACGTTATGGTAAATATCTCCATGTGTTATAGTAACCCAACTATCATAAATATGTATTGACATTATCGTAAATTAGTATATAAAATTATAGTAAATGGAGGTGGCTATAAAATAACTTATTTTGTAGTCGGCTACTGAATAACCTCTATTCTACACGGTAAGGCTATTCTACAATGTTTGTACCAATTTACGATAATGATAATACACATTTACGATACATGAGTTATTATAATTCAAGATGATACTTACCGTAATGCTATAGTAAATCACTTATGAAAGAGTTATCATAATCTCGTAAAATAGTATAGTAATTATCGTAACTCAAAATGATCATAAAATAACTTATTCTACGATCAGCTATAGAACAATGTGTATATATATAGACCCTATTACTGAGTTATTCGGTACCCAGCGTCCTATAAGCGCGCACGCGCATCCTGCGTCGGGACCGAGCGTGCCCATGCACCTGGGCCGCTGCAGCCCAGCCCGGGAATAGAAACCAAGGTCCGAGGAACACATCCGAACGAAAACACGACCGTCGACCGGCGGCGGCTGGCCGGTGTTCCAGCGCGAACTGGCCGGGGCAGCTGGGCGGCGACGGTCCTATGGAGGAGCTGAGCAGGACGGGGAAGAAGGCAGAGGGGGAAAAAGAGCAGAGAGCAGAGAGGAGAGAAGGAGAGAAGGGAGGGAGTTCAGCAGGACGGTGCGCCGGCGGCGGCCTCGAGCGCGAGCTGGCGGAGGCGCAGGCCGGCGCGGCGTACGGCGTCTCCCTGCCGTTCGTGCGCAGCAGCGAGTGAAAAACGGCGGGGCAGAGCAGGAAGCAGGCACGGCGGTGGCGGCGTTCCTCGGCTCCGGCGGGGGGGAGCTGAGGGCAGCTCAGCGGGCGCGGCTCCGGCGCGGCGAAGGCAGGGGCGCCGTGCTCCCTTGCAGGCCTTGGCGGCGGCGGCTCCGAGCTCCGAGCTTGGTGGAGTGCTCGTCGACGCCACGCATGGCCGGCCTTTTATAGGCGGGCGGCAAGGCGGTGGCGCCCAAAATATCTCCGGCCATGGAGATGGCGTTCGTACGGCCGCGGCTTCGTGTCGACGAATTTCTCGGAGGGGTAAGGTCGTCGCGGAAGGAGACAAGGCAGAGGCGGTTCGCGGAGAAATATCTCCGGCAGCCATGGGAGCATTCTTCACGTGCTCGCGATGAAGGCTGCGGCGTACGCGGTAACGCGGCGGCGATACGGTGCCCAGGGCTGTTGCCCGCGACGGACGGGGCTGGGCCGAGGGCAGCGTTGGGCTGGCCCGTTCGTGAAGTGAGGGAAGGGGTACACGTACACAGTAGAGAGGTTTTCCATTTTCTGTTCTTTTGTAAATTACAAAATGATAGATGATGTATATATACGCCTATACCAAATGTAACCATGCATGCATATATGTATACATATATATACCTATAAGTAGGCAAGGATGGCTACAAAATAACTTATTATGTAGGCACTTTGAGTTACGATAATTATTATGTTAATTTATGATATTATAGTAATTTTTTGCTAAGTGGTTTACTATAACGTTATGGTAAATATCCTCATGTGTTAAATAGTACCCAGGTATTAAATAGCTATTCATTACCCGAGCCCATCCCCACGCCCGCTCGGCCGGCTAAGCGATGGCCGTCGATTTTTTTCTTCCGTGGGTGTTGCCACTTGCGGGTGTTTCCAGCCTTTCTGTGTGTTTCTGGACGATTTTTTTTTGTGTTTTTTTTGTTCTTTTCTACATGGACAAAATTCGGTTATGTGGCCATTTTTTTCCGCTAAACCTCTAGGGATGCATATATTTGGCCGTTTTTTTCTTTGTACACCAGGTTTCTTGTGATGAATTACTTGTCAACAATAATAATTTATTTGTAGCTATTATTCAAACCACAAATATTTTAACCATATCCTCATATCTTTATATGACATGATACCAAATATTTGTTTTCAAGAAAAATATTATTTGACAACAATCTTACTAGAATTGTGAATCGGTCCCGGGAGACGATGTTCTCATAATATTTTACAATAGTACGTTATGCTAATCACAAATAGTACCACCATTTGGTTCGTTATCATAGTTACAAAGATGATGCACAGACATCCATTTGTTTTTGAAGAACTGCAATGATGATGCACAGACATCCATGTGTTTCCTTCTGACGAACTGAAATCTGCATCATTGAGGGCTTTGGATGTCATTTGTAGTTTGCAGCAATGCACCACACCTTCATTTGCATAGCACCCAGATCCGACTTGTTAACACATCCATTAAGTACACACACAAGCATTATGACAGTTGCTTCTTAAAAAATCTGCAATATAAGATATATGTATAAAATTCATTTAGTAATTGATTGCTTGACTCAGACAAAATCAATAGTAGTCAATAAAAACTAAAAAAACATTAGATTTTATTTCTTTAATTTTTCCCATTGCTAATTTGATCTGCTTGTCTTTGAAAAACTAGGGAACCATAAAACCTCAAATATTTGCCTAGCAAATATATTGTCATTTGAGACATTGTTTCCTTTTCCTCACTAAACAGCCCACCACCAATTATTATTATCGTTTCATTGGCTACCAAGTGAGTACTAGTAGTTCAAGTAAGCTGCCTATATTTATTAGCCAAAAAAAAATCTAGACATGCACTGTATGGTATGCATATGCACCATGCTGAATTGTTGGAAAGAAGACACCTATCTTGGATCAGAGTTCCAGATATTATAAGGCTTATACTGCAGGGACAAATCAAATACTACTACTCCTAGTGTTACTAATGGTTCTAGCTTCTTACCTTTCAATCTTGGTAAGCAAAAGATGAACTAATGGCTCTCTGATTCACACATAGACCCATATAAATTGCATTAGGGATCACTTCCTAGTGCTGCTGGGACCATGGTACTTCTTAGTCATTGTCATGCAGAGACAACACAAAATAGCAAGTTAAGTTGTTACCCTTTCTTAATGGTGAATCTAGTGATGCAGACAAGCGGGAGAAAGTGCTCTAATTCCCATATTCCAAGTTTTCATTGAAAAGTGTCATCAGAAGATTTGGATCATCGTGTATGTAAATGACTGCTAACCTACATAATTTGTCATAGCAAAATTAAAGAGTATGTCTAGATAGCACAAAGGCTTATGAATCTGCGAGTATGATGAATGCAGAAAATTAGTAAAGATGCAATGAGAGTGCTAGCTTAAAATGGAATAGTTTCACTTGATCAGACTTTAGGGTGTGACTAAACTCTGAAGTGTGCACTCCAAAGCAACATGGAATGCTTTGCCACCCATCGAGCAAACAAAATATCATGTTGAACAGGAAATGGTAAGAAACGGAAGTTTACCATTAGGAAACTATTTCTCCTAGACTACTGACTCTGACAAGAAATTAAAAGAATTTCATTGCATTAAGAATAATATATATTGCAATATAGCTTCCCATCTGAGATTACATCAAGACAAACATTATTTATAAGCTGAGAGTTCACATGAAAGCAAATTATCAAATAAAATTTTTCAGGATATGACAGTTGACTACTGCATTGTGTAGCTCATTAGGTCTTAGCAACAATCATTTAGCACTTATGAGATGAAAAAAAGCTGATATATTCCTTAAGCTAAGAGCAAGGCCAATAAGCTTGGCTTATAGCCAAGCCATGTCATTTGGAGACTAGCTTAATAGATTATTCTTACAACAGTTGGTCTTTTCACTTTTTCCAAAGCATATATTTTATTAGTATGGGTCCCACCACTGCAATGCTAGGCAAGATTAAGACAAAGGTGTAATTTGCAAGTAAATAAGCTGCTAATCTGCCTCAGTGGGATAGGATAGATAGTTGCAAGGAAAAACAGCTTTGAATTTGCAAGTAGAAGAACCTGCATAATTGACAGGTTTAGGCAAGTGGCATCTCAGATTTAGTTCTGAAAAAATATATGTTGAGCAATTGTTAGCATAGAAATCTATTCTAGACTCTTGAACAATAAAATACACACAGAGTCAATATAAACCAAAAGGCTAAAAGGTTCATAAGATCATGACTTGCAAGGAAACATCTTGAATCAGTGTAATACATAGAAGAATGATTTTTTACCTTTGTATTGGAGCACAGCTGTGGCCTCTGGGTCGCCTCCCTCTGCCTGTGTATTCTACGACCTGTCTTGGTCACCGAACGGCAGGAAGTGCCGACTCTGAATGGTGCATTTCCAACAGGTTGACTGTAGCAGAACATGATCAGAAAACAGAGGAAAGCACAATATCTATTTTATCTCAAACATAAACCACGACAAATTATCACGATTCGATCTGGCGTTAAATAATCAAGAATTTTCCTATCCTTTTTACCAAAAGTATCCAACAGTCTATGGCTTACTTGATCATTAGCCATTGAGAAGTCAA